TGAACCCACACTTCCCCCCCCCATAGCCCTTTCCCATGCCCCCATGCCTTGGCATGAGGAGAGAGAACTCTGCCTGGACAACTTGGAGGATTTCCCTGCCTGACATCCCAGCTTCCATCTCACTGGCCCCTCTAGAGGAAGTTTGGTGGTGGGAGGGGCTGCTTTGCTAGCCTCATCCTCCTCCCCATCTTCCCCTCCTTACACCATCAAATAGAAAGGAAAAATTCCTCCCTTGCCTAAAATGTGGCCTTGAGGTCTGGTCACCCCATGTCATTGAACAGCCCCCAAGTGAGATTCATTCATGAACTTTTGGTCTTCTATAAAGGTCTGTTCATTCATGACCAGGGCAATTAAATAACTCTTTGTAAGTGGCAGCAAGAGACTTGCTACTTGTTAAGTGGTTGTTACTAATGCTAGTGCAAACACAGGTAAAATAGCCTTCCCCCTTCCCCCCTTCTTCCTTTCCTTGTAAAGGGGGATTTTATGTTTTAAGGGGGAGGGGGGAGGAGAGGAAAAACACCTTAAAGGAATTTCAGTCAGATTCAGCATTTTCCTGGGGTTGTTCCAAAAATTCCCTAAACCATAGTAAAATGAAAAATTGTTAGCAGGCATCTGATTGCTTTTTACAGCCCAGCTATTCTTTCCTGGTTTTAAAACAAACAAGTACAGTTTTAAAAACACCGCCACCACCACTTCTTTTATGGTAGGGAAAGGCCTAAGTTGAAAGAAATAATCAAATTGATCAGTTTGCCCTACTCTAAGTATCTAAAAGAGTAATAAAGGTAGTTTGTTGAATGGGGGTGAAGTGGTTGGCATTCCAGGTTACCAACCTGGTGCATTCTCCAGGGATGGATTACTGAAGCCCCCTCAGCAGATGCCCAGGGTGCATCTCATGACTTATGTATGAATCCTTAATTTGGGGGCACTCTCTGAAAGACAGTGCCAAGCATTTTATTTACACCTTCTCTGGGATCCTGCTTTTCAGGGCTGTTCGAACACTATGTTAATTCAACTATCAAGCGTGACTGAGAATCAAGCAAATTGTGGGAAATGCCATTCTAGCTAGAGGATTCACTACATGGGATCTGTATTGCATTTCCCCAAAGTTGTAAATTGTGGGAGAAATGTCAGTGCTGATACAAATAAGGGATTTTAGTGCCTAGAGTTCTTCACAGAGAAGCACATTTGGGCAGCACTGGGGAACATAGGAGTATAGGGCTGTATGGGATAGTCAAGTCACATTTGCTTCATTTGGATTTTTCCTGGGGGTGGGGAGAGGTTAGAGAAGAGAACCTTCTTTATCAAAATCCTGCTTTAATAGGTGAGAAGGAAGCACACTGCAGACAAAACCCCACTCCCCATTTTTTTTGCATGAAGGAGTAAGCTTTAAAGGCCTTTTGACTCAGCACACAGATAACCCACACTCTGCAGTTTATTTGGGCTAGGCTATTAACATAATCGGGAAACTTCCCTTTCCTGGGGTATGTCTGGCTGAAAATTGCAGGGTGGACCGGCTGGTCTACAAAGAAAATTCAGACTAAGATTGCAAGACTTCTCTCTGTCTCTGTCTCTTACTCATACACACACTCTTAAGTGGGAGGCAGAAAGTGTAATAGGCCATATAGAACTTTAGATAAAGGGTACCTGACAGACTGTTGGTGGAATGTAGTTGTTGGTCCCCTTCCCCTTTTAAAAATGGAAGCTGGTTTTCCTTTTTGGTGCACATCTTTCCCTCCCACCCCCCAACTCCCTAAACTTCCCTTGAGGTGGTTTCGGAGGACTAGGTTGGAGGTAATTTGATCCCTGGCTCTCCGTTCAGCCTGCCCCTCCACCTTCCTTGCCTTTCCCCCTTCTCCCTCCCTAGGCTTTTTACTTCCCTGCTGTTTATTTGGTGCCAGGTTTCAGTGGGACAGAAGTGTATGAAACAAAGTATTGTGGGGCTCAGAAAAGGGGAGGTTTCAAAGCGAACAACCTAAAAGGAGGCAGAATTCACCCTTCAAAAGGGGAAAACCGTTTTCTTCTGCATGCTGGCTATGTATTCTCTCCTAGTCACTTCTTCTCCACTCCTTTTCTAGTCTTCTCTCAATTTCCAGGCCTACGATTTAGGATTCCATCATTTTCACCCTCCAACTTTCTCTCTCTCTCTCACATCCTTTCTACTTCTCTCCAGAACTACCATGGATGGGCCCCAGTTCCCAGTCAGTGTCAGAGCTGGTTTTCTGAGGTGAAGTTCTTACATTTCAGAAGGCACCCCGCCCCACCCCAACCAGGGCTTCCAAGGGAAAACTAGTGTATGAATGTACAAGCTAGCAATATTTTTACTTATAACAGTTATTATCTGCTGCACAAGTGAATTCTGAGAATTCAGTAGTGGTTGATGTTTACTATCCTATTTGCCAGCCAGTGGATGCTCTTCAGGAATAAGTTAGTGTCCTGAGAATTCAGATACTGTGCTTATCCTTTTGTTGGGGGTGACTTGAGAGAGAGAGAGAGATACAGACAGACAGACCGACCATCCATATTTCCCTTTTGAGGTCTAGTGGAGTATATAAGCTAGCCTACCAACTTATTCATAAGGGACTGAAATCTAAGGCTAAATGTTGGTGCCTTTTTTTTTTTAAGTTCATAGACCTGAATAGTTCCCAGGTCTTAACATGTCTGTAAAAGTTGGAAGGAGGTGACTGGGCTGAACTGTGCTCCGATCTTTACCCTGCCGACAGCCGTCCTTTTCAAGGGGGGGAGTGGGCACCAGAACCCGCTCCCTTCTTTCCTTTCCCCCTGTCTGGTCTGGCTGATGATCAGTTGATCTCTCCCCCAGTTGCTTGAAAAGGCTGTAGGGAGGAGGGAGGGTTAAAGGAACAACCATTTCCCCCCTACTCTACACTTCTCCCCCCTCTTTCCCAATTTTTGTTAACAAATACAAAACTTCCGGTCCCCACCCTGCCTCCAAAAACCACAGCTATTCCTGCAGCTCAGGCAGATTTATAGTTTTCTGTCTGAACCTTACATTTATTACTTCAGCTCCAGGCATGAGGAGGAGAGGTAAATTACAGCTGTAGCCACCCCGGACGATTCCCCCCTTTTAATGTGCACAAACATCTATTTAAAGAAACATACACCCCAAACACCAAAAACCCTCCTGGACGGTTTGCTTTCTTAAAGAGGTCCAGGAAACTTTCTTCATGTCAGACCATGGGGCGGGACTTAGAGGAGGTGGAGGAAAGGAGCAAGGCATGGAGGGAGAGCAACCTATCACACTGTAATGTGGAAATGCTCCTCTTCTGGACCTTCCCATCATTCTCCCTACATAGGGGGATTTGTAGGACTTGAAGGCTAGTTTCTATGGCACATTCTTTCTTTGTGAGATGTAGGCTGGGCCTCGTGGACCGCAGGATACTATATTTCAGTCTCAATTAGTCCAGATTTAATTTAAAAAAAAATTTCCAGGATAGTTCTAGTGCCGTCTTTTGTGAACAACCACTGGTTTTCCACTTAGCATAGGATGTATATCTTAAGTTGTTTCTTTACTTGTGGGGCTAGATTTGTACTGGGCTGGCCACATACCATCATCTAACTCTTATGACTAAAGCATGCTCCTTGGTGAAACAGACATAGATGGCCAGTGCAGGGATACTGAAGAGTCAGTCAGTATGCTGTAGTGAATTAAGCACTAGATTGACTTACAAGACCTAGGTTCTAGTCTCGCATCTGACATTAACTTATTATCTATGTGTGATTCTGGAATAGGTGATTTCTTCTCTCTGAGTCTTAGCTCCCTTATTGGTAAGTCGAGGAGATTGTACTAGATGAATTCTAATATCCTAGCTCTTCTACTTCTTAGCTATGTGACCTTGAGCAAATTACTTAGCTTCTCTATACTTTGCCTCAGTTTCCTTATTTGTAAAGTGGACTAGATAACCTCTGTGGTTCTATCTGTGCCTGAGATTCAGTTAGATTAAAACAAAAAGTCCCTTGTGGCTGAATTTTGCAAACGATACCTCTTGGTCTCATTAGCACTGTGTCCTGACCAGCCATATAGTTATATGATTAGGCTGCTGGGCAATCTCCTGGCTTATATTTGGGTTTAGACCCAGATATTACTATATCTCTTGAAGGAATTAGAATGTACCCAAGGTTGTATGCCTGTCCAGGGCTCAAGTGATGCCCCTTTATTGGCTGGGGTGGGGGGAGGCTGTGTGAATTGATGCCTCAGCAAGACCCTACGTGTAAAGGGTAGGGACATTCAAAGGTTGGATTGCATTCTGCTCATCAGTCCTAAGAGTCTGAGATCAGTTGGGGGGGGGACTTGTCTCCCACCCATCTGGAGGTTTCTACTGGGGATGTTTGTGTCTAGCTTTCTCCCCAGGGATCTGGAGTCAACTTTTGGAGGTCTTCATCAGGAAAAGGATGGAGACTGACTTAGATGAGCTGCTGTTGCTTCCTTTTCCATGACTGAGTATAGTCTCACAAGGAACTAGGGAGAAATGAGGTAGATAGCAAGGAGTGAATGAGTTACTTTTGTGTACATGTATCTCAAAGTCCTTGAGGGTTTCCCTATTAAAGAAGGTCATCCCATGAAGAATATAAGCTTCCTGAAGGCAGGGACCATTTTTTTCTTTCGTGTTTACAGTGTCAGTCATGATGAGTAACACTGCTCAGCAATAGAGATATAAAGGCAAAAACACTGGCCCTAGCCCCTCAAGGAGCTCACATCCTAATGGGGGAAATACCCTGCCCACTCAAAAAAAAAAGTACATATAGCTCACATACAGCGTGAGCATCAGGCACTTAATTCAGTAATTGCTTATCGAATCCAAGTCAGCTGAGTCGGATCATGAAAAAGTGTCAGAGCTAAATGCTCAGTCAAGAATGATTTGGAGAAACTGTTGCCCATGGATTATCCTGAGATATAAAGTCACAGTTAAATGTTTGTGCTTTTGATTTGAAAAGGCCCAAAGCTAGCCACTTCTGACAGTTCTGATTCTTTTTTCCTTATCTAGATTCCCAACTTCTTCAGGAGCCTGGGGATCAGTCACACTGGTGCGTGGTAGCATATTGGGAGGAGAAAACAAGAGTGGGTCGGCTCTACTCTGTCCAAGAGCCCTCCTTGGACATCTTCTACGATCTACCTCAGGGGAATGGCTTTTGCCTCGGACAGCTCAATTCGGACAACAAGAGTCAGCTGGTACAGAAAGTCCGTAGCAAAATTGGCTGCGGCATCCAGTTGACTAGAGAAGTAGACGGCGTATGGGTGTATAACCGTAGTAGTTACCCCATCTTTATCAAGTCGGCCACACTGGATAACCCCGACTCCAGGACGTTGTTGGTGCACAAGGTGTTCCCGGGTTTTTCCATCAAGGCATTTGACTATGAGAAAGCATACAGTTTGCAGCGGCCCAACGACCATGAGTTCATGCAGCAGCCATGGACGGGCTTCACCGTGCAGATCAGCTTCGTGAAAGGCTGGGGCCAGTGTTACACAAGGCAGTTTATCAGCAGCTGCCCATGCTGGTTGGAGGTCATATTCAACAACCGATAACGCAACAGGAACCGGAGGGGACTAGATGATGTTTAAAACTACTTTGCTGCTAATATTTTCCTTCTGAGTGCTTGCTTTTCATGTAAACTCTTTGGTTGTTTTATTTTTTAATTGTTGTTTATGGTTTTCTGTTTGTTTTGTTCTCGAGAAATAGCTTATGGAAAGAATTATTTGGTTTTGGCGGGGAGGGAAATAGGATGGGGAGGGCTACCTGGTAAGTTGAGAATTTAAAAGCGGAGTAAAAACCAACAGCACCAAATGAAATGACCAATGAGTCAGAAGAGAAGAGGGGAGTCACTTTCCCTGTCCCAAGTCACCATTTCACTTGTCCAGTCTATATGGCCAAGAGGGGGACAATTATGCCAGGGGAGAACATGGACACTTTGTGATACAGATGGAGGGTATTTCTCTTAAGAATGAGCTTCAGTAAGAAGCCTATAGCCACAATAGCTCTTTAGCCCTTTGGAAATGCTTGAGGGGTCGGGATGTTAGTGCCCTATTAGGTTCTATTGGTTGGTTAGGTGTTCCCATATAATAAGGCCACCTCCATGATAGAGCCCCCTTGACCTGGCCCCTCCCCAGGTACTTTTCCCCCCTTTATTATTAAGCTTGGAATAGAAGGCCAAGGGCCCACGCACACACAGGTCTCTTGGAAACAAACAGCAAGATTCTGAACGAGAACCAAGACTCTCACCCTGGTCATCCCAACCTTTTGCCACCCTCACTGCTGCCATAATTGTTTTTTTTCTTTTTTTTCCCCTCTTTTTTGGACATCTTGGTTTTTCGGTGAGTTTGACTTCCCTGAAATATTGCTTATAAAGTGCCCGCTTTCCCAAGGCTGCTGTTCCTACCACAGGAAAAAACTGACTTGGCCTCTCTCCTCCTCAAAACCACACTGTTTAGACCAGTGAGTTGGGGAGGAGAGGGAAAGAGAAGCTTCCTAAGTGGGAAGGAATGGAATGGAAGCTATACCCCCTGCTTCACCACACCCTCTCCCCTTCCACTATCTCCTTGATGGTCCATCTTAACCCAAAGCCGGTTATCAAGGTACCACTTGTGTCCCAGAATACTGTGTTTTCATTTCTTCTACAACTCATACACTTGTATGATACTTTTACACTGTTCTTAGCTCAATGAGCATGTTTAGACCTTAACATAAGCTATTTTTCTAACTACAAAGGTTTAAATGAACAAGAGAAGCATTCTCATTGGAACTTTAGCATTGTAGTGCTTGGTGAGAGAGAAAGGACTCCTGAAAAAAACTGAGATTTATTAAAGAAAAAATGTATTTTATGTTATATATAAATATATTATTACTTGTAAATACAAAGACGTTTTATAAGCATCATTATTTATGTATTGTGCAATGTGTATAAACAAGAAAAATAAAGAAAGATGCACTTTGCTTTAATATAAATGCAAATAACAAATGCCAAATTAAAAAAAGATAAACACGAGATTGGTGTTTTTTCTATGGGTGTTATCACCTAGCTGAATGTTTTTCTAAAGGAGTTTATGTTCCATTAAACAATTTTTAAAATGTACACTTGACTTGCTGTTGTGCACCAGCTTCTCTTTCGTTGATTAGGGTTAAGGTGGATCAGAGGCTCCAAACTGGGTAGCATGGAGGACCAGAGAGGGGTGGGGCATTAAAACCGCTTGGAGCAGGGCACGGTGGGGTGGGGTGGCTCATCCTCCAAAGGCTGAGGAATACAGTTCTTGACCTTCTCAGGTAAAGTAGAAAGCTATGCGCAACAGACCTATTTAAAGCACCAAGCCCATCAGATATCTAGGCATAGAAATAAGCAGCTTGAAATTCTAACCTGGGCCAAATTTGTGGAAATCCCCTGTTATGTGACAAACTGAGGTGATTTGTGGAATAATTAATGAGCTGGAGGGAAAAGATATTTAAATCTACCCTATGAATTAATGGGGGAGGATGATGTGTGATTTCATTTGATTTGGGTTAAATCCCTGAAGCTGATATAGCTGTTTCGTTGTTGCTACCCTAGCTTTTCTGACCCCTAACTAGATGTCCCCATGAGACTGTCCTTGGCACTCTTCTCCATCCACTCATTGCATAATTTAATTGGCTTTGATGATCTCTTCAGATGACTCTCAGATTCATCATTTCCAACCCTAGTACTCTTTCTCAGACCTGAGATCCCTAGCTGCCTGCTGGGTATGTCTGCCAGTCTGTCTTACTGGCAAGTCCAACTCACATGCCTAAAACCAGACTCATCTCCCACTATAGTTCTCTCCCCTAGTGTGCTTTGCTATTGGTAGGTATCATCCTATTCAGTCACTTCAGCTTGAAAAAATCACAGTTGCCTCCTTTCACCTTCAGGTGTAATCACTTGCAAATCCTGTCATTTCAAGTACTGCTATGTCTCTCCCATTCTTCCTTCTACTCAAACAGCCTCCTGAAAGTTTCTTGTCTGGTCTTCCCAAGTCTGAGCAAAACATTTGATGATTTCCTATTGCCTTTAGGATAAAGTACTGTCATTTAAGGTTCTCCACCATCTGGCTCTCCCCGGCTTTATTTCCCATTACTCTCCTTCACACAGTTAAATCCCCAGCCAAACTGGAACACTGACCATAACCTTTATGTCAGGTACAGCTATCCGAAGACTGTAGGAAGAGTGGGAAGGGACTCATACCCGAACAAGAATTCTCTCGATATGCCTGACAAGTTGTCTAATTGTTACTTGATGACTGGGAAGATCTTGGAGCACAATGTGGGGATGTAAAAAGCATTCTATATTTGGAGTCCTGGATCCTGAGTTCCTGTTTCCACTTCTCGTCTTTCTAATGGGCAGATCATTTGAGTTCTCTTGGCCTCAGTTTCACCATTCAGAGTGAAGAGGATAGACTGGATGGCCTCTCAGGATCTTTTCTACTCTAGAACTATCAACCTATGAACTCCTGAAAGGGGTAGCTTGCTTCTTTACCAGTCAACCCTTTCTACTTTTGGATAGCCAATTGTTGGAAAAGGTCTCCTTGTATCAAACCATCCACATATTTTGTTCCTAATCTGGCTAACTGGGACCCAACAGAACAATTTAAACCTTCCACTTGACAGACCTTCAAGTACTAGAAGATGGCCATCATTTCTCACCCTCACCCCCAAATAAGTCTTCTTTTCTAGGCTAAAAATCCTCAGTTCCTTTAACTGACATGAACTCAAATCCCTTCACCATCCTAACTTGTCAATGTCCTTAAAACGTAGGGAGTTCTTTGAACTTAACATAATACTCCAGATGTGGAATCACCAGGGCAAAGGTCAGGGGCAATATCACCTCCCAGGCCTGGTTACCATGCTTCTCTTCAGTAGTATAGGCCAAGGTCTCCCACTGCATCTGGGGCCATCTCCAGTCATCCTGATCTATGTCTTGCTGCTGGACCCAGATGGCTCTGGAGAAAAGAGTGAGGCTGGTGACTTTGCATAGCCCCCCTACCTCACTTAAATCCAGTTCACTTCCAAGTCAAGACATCACCTTCCTGATGTTAGTGGTCCTCTTTGATTCAGAATGGAGGACAAACAATAATACTGGTATTGAAGATTGCATTAGCTTTCTACCTATTCCACTGTTGACTCAAATTGAGTTTGTAATCCACTAAAACCCCAGGGTTTTTTTTTGTCAAGACAAAGTGTACCAATGTCTTCTCTTATGGCACATGTGTAGTTTACTTTTTGAGCCTAACCCCCGTGTCTAGCTTTTAGGTGAGATCTTTCTGAATCCTGCCCTCTGGAGTGCTCCTCCCCCCCTCCCCCAGCTGCAAATTTGATAAGCAGGCCACCTTATACCTTTATCTAAGGGATTACAAATAAAGGGAAGAGAGGTTATTAGGTAGAGGAAAAGAGAAACAAAAAGGAGGAAGGAAAAAGAGAGAAAAGTTTGCTGAGTGAGGTCAAATAGAAGTATATATTTAAGGCACAGAATCGGATTGTTGCTTGGAAAAAAGCTGATTTGGATTTAACCTGCTGTTTCCTTTGATACCCATGATGATTAGGTCTAAGATGCCTAATTTTTTTCTATTGATACTTATATAGTGCTACAGGAAAGATCAGAGAGAGCAGATAGGATTTTACATCCTGAAAGGGCTGCCTTTAGAGAAGCAGTATGATGTGGCAGGTAGAGTGTTGGATTTGGAGTTAGGAATACCAGATTTCAAATCCTGTCTTAAACACTAGCTGTGTGACCTTGGGTAAATCACTTAAACTTTCTGAACCTCAGTTTCTTCATCTGTAAAAAGAGGCTAATGACATCACCTACCTTCATTCCACATTCAATAAACATTTGTTAAGCACCTATGATGTTCTAGGTGCTACATCGTGTCAGGAACTAGAGATACAAAATTTAAAAATGAAACAACCTTCAAAGAGCTTAATTTCCGTGGACAGGGAAGAATGTGTAACACAAAGTAACCACACAATAGATCCAGAACCAGTCATTCTTGAGAGACAGGGCACTAGCAACCAGGGAAAAGAATAGACTTCCTGTAGGTGGTGGAACTTGAGGGTTAAAAGGAGTCAGAGATTCTGACACTATGGCAGGATCAGGAACGTATATACCTCAGAGGGATGCTGCAAAGAGCAAATGAAATTTTATAAGTATGAATACAAAGGGCTTTTTATATGTGTGTATTTTGTATATAGATAATGTGTATGTGTGCATATGCACGTGTATGTGTACGAATAGATGTATGTGTATATGTATATGTGTATATATGCAGATGTTAATATATATGCACATATGGGTATGTGTGTGTGTGTGTGTGTGTGTGTGTGTGTATAGCTTTGCAAAGCTTAAAGGATTCTATGAATGTCAATTGTTATTAGGGAATAAAGGGATACTTAAAGCTTTCTATTAGGGGAGAAGGTTGGAACATCAGCCTAAAAGGTATTCTGGTTGTAGGGCATAAGGAGACAAGGAGAAGCACATGTAAAAGCAGAATCAGAAGAACCATGAAATGCAGAAGGTGCAAGGAATCTGTGGTCCACAGCTAGAAACCAGTTTTCTGATCTGTTAACTGCAAAAGGCATACAGCACAGTCACACAGTATCTTAGCCTATGTTGAAAAGAAAAGAAGTTTTACTGAAGAATCTCAGTTCCCTGATCCTTAGAAACAGGCTCATTTTAGGGTATGATGCTGATCCAGGCTAGACTTACTGAGAACTCTCAAGGTTGGAGGGAGGGACACTTTGGGGCACTCTATCTACAGGGCTGGAGCTGGAATTAGAGGACCTGCATTCAAGTCCTGGCTCTGTTATTTACGCCTGTGTGACTTTAGACAATTCACTTAACATCTATGGACTTTGATTTCTTATTTTTCAAATGGGGGTCAATTTGTATAATCTGTCTCTATTTTATGCTGTTGCTTAGTCATTTCAGTCGTATCCAACTCTTCATTACCCCATTTGGGGTTTTCTTGGCAAAGATACTGAAGTGGTTTCCATTTCCTTTTACAGATGAGGAAACTGAGGCAAACAGATGTAAGTGATTTGCCCAGGGTCACACAGCTAGTGAGTGTCTGAGTCCAGATTTGAACTTACAAAGATGAGTCTTCCTGACTCTTGGCCAGGCATTCAATTCACTATGCCCATCTAGCTGCTCCAAAATTAAAAGTAGGAATCCACCTAGCTGCCCCCTGTATTTTATAGTCTTAGAAATTTGCCTGGAGACACTGAGAATGTTAAGGGAGTCAGGATCTGAACCCAGGGCTCTCTGACTGTCCACTCAATTCCACTTCTTCTCTGTGCCTATTTTCATTATCTGCAAATTGGGAGTAATTATATTTTTATTACCTATCTCAATGATGAGGAGAAAATGCTTAAAAGACGTTAAAGCACCATGTGAATGTGAATATTTGTGCCTTCAAGTCTCAGCCCAGGTTGTCAACACTTTATAAAACTTGGTTTGGTCCCCAAAGCTGCTAATCTCTCCTTCCTCAAAAGTTCTTAGAGGAAGAGCGCTCCTATCACATTCTAACTTTAATCACCTTTGATTTGTATAGACATCGTATTCCCTGTTCCCCCCCCCCCAGTAAATTGTAAGCTTTTCCAGGGCAGCCGCAGCAACATTCCTTTTTTTTTTTTCATTTTTGTATATTTAGCACTCAGCAGGGTGCTTTGCATATAGTAATAACTCATATTTCTATAACACTTTTATCATTACAAAGCATTTTCCTCACAACAACCTTGTGAAATTGGTAGTTTAGCTATTATTATCCCCATTTTGCAATCAAGGAGCCTGACTTGAAAGACTAAGTGATTTGTTGAAGATCGTGAAACCAATAATTGCCAGAGCTTGGCTTTGAACCCAACCCTTGGATCTCTTCTGGATCCAAGCCAATAGACTTTCTTATTTCTCAAAATTTTATTCCTTAATTATAAAGCATCATCATTATTTTAACCAATAAGTAATAATCAGAGTAAAAGTACTTTTCTTTTTTTTTACTTTATCTTTTTGTTTTTTTAAAAAATTTTAATTTTTTTAGTTTTTTTCCATATGCTTTTGAGTTGAAAATTTTTCTCCCTTTTTCTCCCC